ATTCATTGTATCTGAGTCAAATGGAGACACACCAGGTGCAACACCTTAAACAAATTGCTTCCTTGTTTGGGATCATTGAAAAATCTACAAAAATAAATCTACCGGTAGTAAGCATGCTAGAGTGGACAACAGTCTAACAATAATCTGGAAAATGTAAACAGCAATATTAGATTTTTCAATGTCCTCAATAGTATTTTTGGTTGAAAGTATGCATTTCACTCATTTGCAGTCATGTTGTGTGGGTATTTTGTCACTGCAGGAAAAAGAAGCACTTCTCACGACTATGGCATCAAAGAAAAAGATCATTAATCTGTTTGAGCTAAATTTAAAGATGCCTGTCAAGAAAGTAAGGCTTGTTTACAGTTTTGACTTCCGAATGGACAATAATCCCGACAAACACCTGATTTCATAGCTGTACAAACCTGACCCAGTTACACCAGTTTTCTCAGTAGGAATGGGCCGCAAAATTCCTGTAAAAAGCTGTAAGGAGCTTGTGGAAAAATTCCCAGAACGTTTGACCAGTCAAACAGCTTAGAGACAATTTAATTAAATATTGAGAAAAGATGTGTAAATTATCTGTCATTATTATCTTACTCATGGAATCAAAACAATTGTCTTTATCCTGTATGTCATTTTTTTTCCTTTTTAACTTTAAAACTCTATGCATTAAAGTGCATTTTGTAATTTAAAATAAGATGATGATGAAGTAAAAGGCATTTTTGGATAAATAAATGTCTTACATATTATCTTATTATCTTATCTTATATATTATCTGATAAAGTCAGGGTGAGTTATTTTATCCCAGCTGTCTCAGTTTTTAGGTCACAGTGAATTGATTGTGGTTATTACGCACAAGTTCCTTCTATAGTCTTCAATAACTCAGTGCAATATTTATTTATTGATTTTACTTCTTCAGTAACTCAAGTGCAATATATATGTATATATATACTCTTTACCCTGTATATAGCTAGCTCTTAGTTATAGAAAACATATTTATTGTGCAGGAATAAGGTCTTAGCTCTGTTACACTGGTAGCCAAGTAATCAACATTTCGTTGTCAAGATTCACCTTGTGTTTTTTTGTGCAATGACAATAAAGGAAGTCTAAGTCTAGTAGGATTTTTTTATTGTTATTTAATTTCAGTTTCAATTGCACATTGATCCATAAGTAATATTGATTTTAAAGCTCTGTCTTTGACATGTATCCTTTTCAATTTCTATAAGCTGGGAATGCATAAATATATGAAAACTTAGGCTTTTACAGTTGCTTTTTGTATCTCTGCTTCTGTCTCCTTGAACGCCAGTTGGCCTCTGCAGATGGCCGCTCATACTGAGCCTGGTTCTGCTGGAGGTTTCTTCTTGTTAAAAGGGAATTTTTCCTCTCCACTTTCGCTACAAGCATGCTTAGTGTGAAGGATTGCATTTGAGTCAATGAGTCAATGCAATCAACAGGTTTTCCTTAGATAGAAAACTTTGAATCAATTTGACTGTATGATCTGGTGAACTGTAAAGTGCCTTGAGATGACATGTGTTGTGAATTGGCTCTATAGAAATAAACTGAATTACATTGAATTGAATTGAATTTCTCAGAGAGGAAACCTACTAAGACACTACTAAGTTCATGTTGCTTTCAAGCTGATAGAACCAATGTTATGTTGCACATTTTATTCTGTCAACAAAACAAAGATAACAGCACTGAGTTTATCTTTCTTTATACAGCGACTTTTTTGTCTGAATTATACTTTCGATTTAAATATCTAAAGAAATACGGAAAACAATTTTGAACTTATCAAGAACAAGAATAAGAAATGTATGGAAAAACCTTCCAGTCTCCAAAGATAAACTTAGAAAATACACAAAAATTTAGTTGTAAGATAACTATTTAGGCCTTCTATTAGTTTATAATTGAAATAAAAAGGAATTGTAAATCAATCTGGAACTGTTAACCAGCATGAACACAGCTCAATAATGAGGGATCGTTCTGGGAAAGTTCACTGTTGTATTAAAGAGTTTCAGTTGTGACTCTCCCACAAGAATCCGACCTGCCATTTGTAAAAACGTACAACAGTGAGCGCTTCATTATGAGCGTGAAGAAAATGGAAACACTGTAATCAGCACTGGCTGAGCTGCAGATCATTCATTCTTGTGTGACATCTTTTGGTTTCAATCTGTAAAATAAAAAAAAAAAAGAAAAGAAAAAGAACAATGTAAATTTTTAAATTAGGGTAGTTTAGCTTATTTCCAGCATTTACATTTTACAGTAAGTAAACCAAAGTTTTGCTGTTAAATAAGCTCTTTATTTCAAAAAATTCTCTTTATCCCTGTGTAAGGGTGTAATATAGAAAATGTTTTAACTATAAAAAATGTTCCAACAAACTACAAACATACAGTCTCTACAGGTTTTTGAATTAAATGTACATAACTCACTGAAGGAGACCACAAGAAAGGAAATAAACTCATCAAAAAATGACAAACTACCATGTTCTCCTGTCTTAGTGTTGTATTGTGGGTTTAGCGGTCATAGTTTGGGTTCTTCCTGCTGCTGTCTTGGATTGCCTCTTCATGTTTTTTTTTTTCTTCTTTAGTTTATTTTGTTTCTTTTTTCTGAGACAATGGAGTCATTTGAATCCCTTGGCAGCTGAGCAGAAATGTGCCCTTACCAAACCTGTAGTTCATGTAATGATGACTCCTTTTTTTTAAGGTTCTTATATCATGTATATCCCCCGATGTTGAGATTCAAATGGTTCTTTATTCCTGCTTGTTCATGACTTGTCATCTAAAAGATTATTTCTCCAATTTCTTGATCATATCACAGCAGAAATCTCATTGTAATTTATGCCAATTTTTGTATTTTTTGTGTAGAATTTGAAATCTGCATAGGTTTTATTAGCTTTTTGACCACTTGTTTGTCCACTAGTTTCTTCACCGCTGCTTCACCATGTTTACTCTATACAACATTTCCAAGATAACAGGATATCATAAGGAATAGACAACAGGGCCTATTACCCAAACACCATAGGGGGATGGGTTAATTGCAGAGGAAAATTTCTCCAGTGTGACATCAATAAAGTTCAATTATTATAATTATTATTATTATTTCCCACAGTGAAACAAAAATGTGGCTGTATAATGTCGTGGTGAAGCTTTTCTACAGCATAGTGAGAGACGCTGGTAAGAGGTGTAAGGAGATATTGCGGCCTTGCAATATAAAGGGATGAGGTTTAGCATTTATAAACAATAAAGGGTCAATATAAAGAAGTGAAACCACAGCTGTAGCTTTGCTGCTATAGGCTTAGGCTGCTAGAGGACATAAAGACCATTTTACCACACGGATTATTTGTTAAGTCAATTTTAAACTTCATTCTCTCTGCTTTTTATCTTCGTAATAGCTACATCCTTCCTGGCGCTGTTTAGATATGACACTGTTCTGGTGGGAGGCATCGGCAAGGTTTCTTTCATCAACATTGTCTGTTATCTACGGGATCAGCTTTTACGGTGACTAACTTAATGTGCTCTCTTTTATTCCATCCATCATCCATCCTCTCGGGCTTCACCTGTCAGGGTCACAGTTGATTTTGTGCCCGTCTCTGGCAGTCTATGAGGGAAAGACTGGGTACACTCTGGACAGATCGCTAGTTCATCACAGGGCAACGCAGAGACACACAACCATGCATGCATACTGTAGTCATACTTAAATGTTAATTAAGAGATGCCAATTAACCTAACAGTCATGTTTTTTGGACTGTGGGGGAAAACCAGAGTACCCAGAGAGAACGCACACATGCACAGGGAGAACAGGAAAACTCCATGCAGAAAGTTGGGAATCAAACCCAGGACCTTATTGCTGCAAGGCAACATTGCTACAAATTGTGCCATCATGCAGCCCCCTCTTTCATTATTTTTGCCCAAAATTTGGCTCAAAGGTGATTTACTGATTTTATTTCCTTGAGCCAGTTTAGAAAGTATTATTGAATCAGAGATTGTATGTTCCTTTGGTGTGTTTGCTTCTGTGTTCTTAAACCTCTATTTAGCCTAAACAGAGCTATGTTAACACTGTGCCTGGTTCTGCTGGATGTCTCTTCCTGTTAAAATAGAGTTTTCTTCTCCACTGTTACTGCATGCATGCTCAATGTGAGGCTACTTACTGCGAGGTCAACGACACAATGCAAGCAAATGTTTACTGTCGCCACATGCTCATCCAGAAGTGAATTCTGCAAAGGCAACGACTTAATGCAGTCCACCGGATTTCTTTAGACAGAAAACTTTTAACCAATCTGTCTGTTTGATATATTTTAATTGACTCAGCTCTTATAAAGGCTCATGTGTTTCTTTCTTAGGTACAAGCAATATAAACAGCAATTTCGCACTGATATTTCCCTTTGTATTCTGGTGTTAAAAGAAAACTAAAAAGAATCAAGAAGACATAAAAGTATGGAGGAAAACTTAATTAACATTCAGACATTTTAGTATTGCTAGGTGTGAAATCCAAAAGTGCTATAAAGTATAATTGCATATTGATTTTCATGGGGTGGAGGAGGTGTATGCAATTATGGTCTAAACCATAGACTAAGCTTCTACTTTAACCCTTACTGCTTTTTACATATGATGGCTGCAGCTAATCTAATTTAAAAATCTGTGTTTTAGTAAAGCTCAACAGTTTAAGTGTTCTTGTAGTTTTGACAAACTGTATCATAAAGAATGACAAAAGAAAAAACTGGTGGTAAAGTGTTAAAAAGTTCACTCAGTAAAGCCACCCACATAAGGATTTGGGTGGTTAACACGTGAGCACTTTTTCCATTCAGACAAAGCATCACATAAATTACTGAATTACATGTAAACAGAAAGGGTGTCATTTAAGGTAAACCATTATCTGCAGAAAGACTTCGTCTGTGTTCTGTGTGTGCAGTCCACCTTAAAAATTTAGCTCAGGACCAATTTTGGAATTGTCCCGCGACCAGCGAATTACACATCCCTCCTGGATACCAAACATCTGGACAACAAAAGAGCTCAGAGGAGCTTAAATTCAGGCAGCTGTGAGACGGTGCAGCAGACACACTGAAGCCTTCAACATGAAAGCTGCTCTGCTGGCATCTTTCTTGTGTTTGCTGTCCACAGTGGTGGCTCAGCCATATGACCATTATGATATGGGCTGGGTGAATGGCTACCGTCAAGGCTTCAACTTCCAATGCCCCCATGGAGAGGCCCTTGTAGCTATTAGGAGCTACTTCAGTGAGAAAGAAGGCTCGGACCGCTTGTGGTCTTTTGAGTGTCAGCGTACACCTGAGACTCTTGGCGAGCCAAGTGACTGCTGGTGGGACGACATCAACCGTGCAGGACTGGAATGGTGAGTACCATGTTTTTTTTTGTCTCCTGGACTCTATAGAACTCTACAGAAATGCAGTTTGCAAATCACACATATAAAGGATTGGTGTAGAAAGGTATTGGAAAACAGAATTCCCATGAAACTTTATCTTGTTTAAAATTATCCTCTGTCCCATTTTAAAATTTGGCTTGGAGGAAGAATAAGCTATAAAGATGGAATAAGTACCTTAAGTTTAAGATGACTGGAGGGGAAAAATCATAAGTTAGGACACAAAGTAATTGGTTTTATCCAGATCCATGAACTTTCAAATGGACAACAAGAAAATAACTGCTAAACTGAATAAGTATATCGTGCAGAGAAAAAAACTTGCTAACTTTATGATTCTGTTCTGGTCAGACTGTTCACATTGTGGGGACATTAAACAAGACAGCCTTTTGTCCTGTATTTAGGATCAGCCACATCTCTACAAATTACATCCTGTTTAGTAAACTGGAATCAAACACTTTTTCTTTCTTTTTAAAGTTGGGTTTAGTTTATACAAATTCATTCCAGTCTGCAAAGTCTGTATGATGCAAATTCCTCTACTTGTTCCCGCCCTCTAAGGTCTGCCAGGATGCTCTGCACTCATTTACTAACTCGGTGTACAATTACCCTCACAGGGAACAATGGTGCCAAACACATTGCACACAGAAGAAGGTTTGGTTCTGACAATGAGTGGGGAAAAAAATCCAAAATAAATAAAAATAAATTATCACATTTCCTTGCAGCATTATATTGATTAGACAGGGATTCATAATCCAGACAAAAACGAGTTAGAAACATTATGAGTGTTGAGTTATAACTTTAAATCAATGCTGCAAAAAAATAAAATAAAATAAAAATCACAGTAATTTAAATTTGGATGTTATTTACCAAAATGTGTAATTCAGAGTCCATTAGAACTTACCTTTTGCATGAAACACTCCCACCTAAACAAAATCTGTTAGCAGAAGGATACTACAAAGCCAATGCTTTACATGAGGTTGGCTTTTCAGAAGAGTTGTGTTCATTAAACCTACAGTACCTAACTTCTGCCTCAAGTATTAGCTTTGTTGAGATATATTGAGATATATTAAATAGTGTTGCACCGATACCAGTATCGGGCGGGGCCTCGATCACTAGCACTAAAATGGTGGTATCGGTATCGATGAGTAGCAACAAATAGGGCAGCGATACCATTTTGAGAGCCAAAAGTTTATTCAACTATTGTCACCCATTCCAGGTAGGCAATAAAAAGTTCTACTGGATTCACTTTGTATTAGTCTTTTTCCTGCTTCACAAAGGTAGGCAGCAGCTTGACAAAGCAATGATGGCAATTATTTTATATCCAAGTAGTATGCAGTTCCTAATATATATATACGTACATACACACATCAATTTTAAACAGTCGGTATCGGTATGGAATCGGTATCGGCCTATACTGCACAGCCAGGTATCGGGTATCCGTATTAGGGCAAAGCAAATGGCATCGGCGCAACACTAAAATTAAGTTATTTTTAGTTCAATATACAGCAATTAGCCCATATCGATGCTTCGTGCAGGATGCTCTTCTCCAAAAACCCCTTTATCCAACTTCAGGGAGTTGGATCCGTCTCTGTAGGAGTCATGTGACTCGGAGCGACACTTTATGGGAGTTTGAGTTCCTTTTACAACAACAAAAAAAATATGGTATTCATCTGATAAGGCTTTGTTTTTGGTTCTCGGATGTAGGATTTAATATAGATGGGTAAATGTGGCTTTAATTTTATAAGTGACTCCATGACTTCTCAATCGGATGGTTCACTGTTGTCTGCTATCAGATTCTAAGACATGGCTGTTTATTTTACGACCACACAGGCCTGCCAGTGGCTTTCATGGGCTCTGAACCTAGAAGTTACAGGTCTAGCGCCCCTAGTGGCTAAAGCTTACAAACAGTTGCTTTACAGGAGAAGTAATGTTTCGTAGATTAGAGGTAGGGCTGGACGATTTAATAGATTTTACTTGTTTATTTAACTTTTTGTTTATGAAGATTTGATTCTTCGGCAAATGTGGATTAATTTAACTAATATTCTGTTTCCATAGCTCAGAGGGACATCAGTCATAACTTTTTTTTCTTAGATGTCTACTCATAACTGATAAACTAGCTCGCACTGTGATAACAGCAGCTGCAAATATTAGGGGTTATATGTTCTGTGTTTGTTGGAAGGTTGATTTTTGTTACCCTTTGATTTAAGATCACCTTCCAGATGGGATTGAAATCAAAGATAGTTTTGAAAGCATTATATATCCCATTCCTCAAGGGAGGAAAAAAATAGATTAATTGGCTTTCGAATTAACAAATCAGAGCTTAGATTTTTAAACATTATCACCGAGCCATAGTCAGTGGGCAATGATTTAGTTGAAAAGAAGATCAACTGAAGGCCTGAAGGTGGTAAGTCAAGCAGATCAGTGGCAGAGGAAGAAGGAGGAGGTTGAGCTGATAGAGCAGGTGGGGAAGGAGACTTCTAGAGGGTCAGATGAATATGGGGGGACAAGAGTGTCTTTAAAAGCGAGTAGAAGAATTTTGAGTGAAGCTGCAAAACATGAGTGATGTGTCTGTAGGGAGGTCACGCACAGCCAAGCTCTGAAATAAGGTAATTGCTGCAGATCAAGCAACATTATTGAGGTGTAGGACAGTGTGCTGTGGAAGCTAATGCTCAGTCGCTAAATAGGAAGAGAGAATAACCAAATCTGGAAAGAGTGTTTTTAGAGGCGGAGTGGCTGTCTAATGGTTAGGCTGGGAATCCAGTGGTTCTGAATTTGAGCCCCACTCCCACAGACTGCCACTCTGGGTTCCTGAAGAAGACCCTTAACCCCACACTGCTCCCCAGGTGCCGCATAATGGCAGCCCACTGCTTTCCAAGGGGATGGGTTAAATACAGAGGTAAATTTCTCCAATGTGAGATCAATAAAGTTCAATTAAATCAAGAGGCAGCAAGGATGAACTATTTGTTTAATTGGAGAAAACTGCTAAAAATGTGTGATTGAGTTCACTGTATTAATCAATGAGGTTAGAGGGTGGGAGTATGGTGTTAGGTGCGATAAACAAGTAAAGTTTGTTCATAATGAGGTTAAGGTTGATCTGGTTGCATTGAATTTTTACAGTCCAACACCTTTAAAATGCTTGGAATCTCTGGCTACATGCATCACATGTTTGAATTTTTCTTTAAAGGTTGAAAGTAACAGCAGTAAGCACTACAAACCTTGACAGATGGATCAAAAGTTTATCACTTCTTTTTTTTAGCTTTTTATAGTTTTGTAGCTTGAGCTGTTACATTTAAGACAAGATTTTTCTTTTTAAGAGGACATAGCTGTTAGTTTTTATGTTTACTTTTATTGCAAACAATCTCTGAACAGAACCCCAGTTATAAAAATCAGAAGTATCCCTTTAATAATGAATGTTTCCTCAGAGAAAATAACATGATTACATAACTGGTCATAAATCTTTAATTATCGAGGAAATTAAACATAAATAGATAATAGCTTCCCTTTCCTTTCCTTTATTTTCTTTTTCTTTTTTTTATTACTTTTGTTGGTTTATTATTATAATACATGGGTGATAACCTGGTATGTTGACCCCACAGTGTCTAATGGGAACAGACATTTCCTGATTAAAAATAAAGAAAAAAAACTTTTGTAATGGAAATATTTAACGAGGATGTTTGGCTGCAGCTGTTGTCCGTCAGAAACAGCACTTATTACCTTTCATCCATCCTCTGTTATTAAAAAAATGTCTGCTGATATCTGTAGGTCCTGCTTTATTAGTAACTGCTGTCACTGAATGAAAATGTTTAGTTTCAGCTGCAACTTATTTGTTTCTCTGTGGCTGAGCCAAATAAAGAAGACTGTGTTTGATTGTATAATAGTATTTTAACTTTAAGCTTAATGTAATATTTTAGGGGCTTTCTTAGGGTAATGTTTTAAAGACTACTAAAGTTTAGTGCATTTGAAACCATGCAAGTTAAAAGAAAAGATTTTGTGCCAGTAAGCGAGACTTATGTACAGCACCAAGTGAACTATTCTGGTAACATTATTGTCAGATGTACACATCAGTGCACCAAATGTACCAGTGTACCAGAAAAATGTATTATTCAATCAGGCATTCACTTATTGCTGGGGGTGTGTGAATTAAACCAGCTACCCACCATTTACAGGATGAACCCCTTTCCCTCGAGCCCACGTCACACTTGATAATACCCTTAAAAAGTCTTATCAGAGCTTTTACATATGTTTCTTTTTTTATTGCTATCGTAAAATACTGGATTCTCTCCACTGTTTTGTCCTTCGGGGAAACATAGAAGGCTTTCCAGACTCGGTATGAATCACCATCTTTCCTCGGAAACAGAAATGCATCCAAAGAAATTCTAATTTCTTTATCCAACTCGCTGTGTCAGTTGTCCTTTAGAGATCTTAAATCTAAAGTTTATAGGACATGTGTTTTAGTCTTTTCCTGAAATTTTACAAGATGGTTCTCATAAAAAAAAAAATTAAAAAACATTGGATAGTCTAAACAGAGGGTCCACAATAACCCAACTCAGTAAAGTAGGAGCCCGTTTAAGAAAGCTGCAACTCTTTTGTATCTAAATGTACACTTCAGATGCCACAACCTGACCTAAACATCAGTTTCCCTGAAAGCTTTTATCAAATTGAGAGATTTAAATGTGGCTTTAGAAGACAGTGCTAAAAGGATGAATTGTAGCCTGACAGCAGCTTCAATCATACCTCCAGACACGTTGCTGGTCAGTCTATATCTGCTTCTGGTGACAGGTGTGGTCTGGAATGAAATTCGTTCGTTTTTTTCCTTTGGGTTAAATTTAACTGAACTCATTCAACCTCTTGGTCTATGGTGTGAGAGCTTTATACCTGCTACGCCCACCTGTCCTTATCAAAAAAGTCTGATTGGATTTAACAGAGCAGAACATTGCCCTGCTGGACATTACCCCAACAGCCTGAAGGCGGTGTTCTTGTCTACATGAAAAGTTCCTGTGCATTCAGCATTTCCTGTTCTTTGGATATGATCGGGCTTTCTTCTGTGTTGCTCTACATACAGTTGAGGCCGAAAACAAGAGAGATTAACCCGTGACTTGTGTCTTTACAGGTCGTCGACATGCACCCGGAATGGCCTGGTGGCGGGGGTTCAGAGCAAGTACTTTGAATCTGTCCTCGACCGCGAATGGCAGTTCTACTGCTGCTACTACAAACGCCGCTGTCCCTACGCCTGCATGTACGTTCTCACACAGCGCTGAGGGCATGTTTAGGAAACAGACTCTCAGCTTTGTTGCCTTCTTGTTGAAAATTTGATGATGCAAATTCAAAGTAATTTGTCGGATGGGAAAAAGGGTTTACTAGCAATGATCTTAGGTATTCACTTCATATACAGCAAAAAACTGACAAAAACTGTTCAAAGCGGCAAGATGAACAGTCCCACCTTATAATAATTTGGTAGACAAGCAGCTAGACAAGCCTTTTCCAATTGATTCTCATTGTGTTGGAACATCCAGAATTGGAAGAAGTGTTTTAGGATCTTGGAAACATGGCGGAACCTGTTCCCTGTCCATCTTGAGCATCTGAAAGTTAAAGGAGTCATTGGAGAATGCCAGTGTATAATGTTTGATGAAGGGTAGCATAGTAAATGCATGATATAAGGGTTTTTTTAGTGGAAAAATTAATGGAAAGTTTGAAGCAGTACCAATTGAATGAAGTATCATCACTTGTCAATCAACCCTAGAGTCTCGTCACACTGGCCGCAGTTTCTAGGAACAGGTGAGGACCGTTAGCGGTGTTTCCTTTACAAATGTGCGCAAAACTATGTCGATATTCTGCTAATTTTTAAAATGTAAATTTTTGCATTTGCGGTATTTGCATTGAATAAGAAAAATATTTAAAATGTTTGTTCACCCTATGACTCTTGAAAACCACAAGGCAGCGCCGGATGTAACAACGAGGTATATCTAAAGTTTAACTACGGCTCTAGAGGGCGCCATCATCCTCCAACTACTCTTGGTCTCCTTCTACATCTTTTTACAAGGCAGTAAGATCTAGTTGCGGAGCACGTGACTCATGTATTGCGAAAAAGTTTTTCCATTGCAGTTTTGTAAAATATAAGAATACGACAGAAAAATCGCCTTATCTAAGTGGAAAAAAAAAAACATTTTTAGAAAAATTGCAGTTCCGCTAATTTATTCTTGTAATTACAATTTGCGCAGTTTGAGGGTTAATGGAAAAGCAGCTACTGTCTGCATATGTTTAACTTGGAAAGAGCTTGCGTTGCTTAAGTAATTAAGAATTTGCGATGAGGAACGCAGCAACTAATTATTCACAGGTTAATCTTTCATGTAATCTTGGTCTTTCATGTAATGAAAACATGCCTCAGTATTTCAACAATAAATTCATGAACTATTTTCTCTCACCACTTACTTGTAATTGCAAAAGGGGTCAGATAAAACTTTACTCACAGTCAGTCGTATAGTGTCCCTTATTTATTCTTAAAGCGTGGAGAAAAATACAGCATGTTTTCTTTGCCTTAAGGTTTCCTGATCGGTCAAAATACCTCATTAAATACCTCAGGTAACATTGTGCTTCACTAAGTTGCCAAAAAATTACAGTATCCTGTTCCTCATAGCCTTGTTTACACTGGCTTACATTTTGACGTAGGCGGAGAAATCTCAAAGCTGGCTTCACATTAATCCCAAGAACTGACAGCCTCAACTAAACTCCTTTGTTTTTAAAGTTGCACATTTCTTGCTTGGTGCTTCACCTCGTTTTGTGAATATTTTTGCTGTTTCATTCAAAAATATTTCCCCGTCTTCTGTATTGGCTCCCTGTCAAGCTCCCTAGTAAATAGTTTGCATTACCTCATAGCTACGACTCAATCTCCCTGCTGCATCCTCAAAGCATGTTGCTGCCACCACCATGTTTCACTGTGGTAATAGCAGTTTGCACTTATTAACAGGATTAGTTTTCCACAATAAATTGTACTTTTATTGTACACCCCGACCTCACTACCACTACCAAGAACAAGCTAATTTGAAAATGTAGCCTGTTTTAGAGTAAGGAACTAATTTTGACCTAATGTAGAGACTGAGTTCAAATTTTCCAGTACAGATTATAGAGCAGATATTCATTTTCATGAGAAAAAAACCCCCAAACAGTTGAAGTATGGTCCTGAGAAGACTGGCAGTTATTCGATACATTTTCAAAGTGTTGAACAATTATATCTTGCTTTCATCAGAAAAACCAATGACATTCCTGAATATCACAGAGAAGAGGCAGAGATGGTCATCCCAGCTTATGGCTACTTCATCCGTGGAGCCCAGACTACATTCAGCGGGGTGCTCAGGTCAGATCTAAACACATTTCTCTGTGAACAGCCATGACCCATTATAAAACAGTCTTTTTAGAAGAGTCATTATTTTATCATAAATAAGACGAGAACTGCTCAGACGCTGTTGCACTCACAGATATTTTTTTCTCTTTCCTTTATTTCAGAGATCGGCAGTGGAAATACATCCTGTGCAGGATGACAGACTTTGACTGTGAATTTGAGAATTTATAGACCTGTAAGAAGCATCTTAATTACACACAAATGTGTGAAATATATATAACCATTACTCATTCAGTCATATCATAGTAAAGGTACAACCTTAAAGTATTCAGGTTCTGTTTTTTATATATCTTTTCACATAATAAATATACCAAATCAAGGATTTTTCCAATGTAACCATTTAATTTTTTTCTAGCTGTAAGAACTTATACATAAGATAACCAGTACATAATAAACATCTACACTTGGAATCAAGTGAATATTTGAGCTCCACAGCTTTTCACCTTGGGAGGACCAGCTTGCATGTTTTGCAAGAGTTTCCCAGAGCAGAAGCAGTTATTTGATACCATGTTTATAGCATCTGAAAGAAAAATAGCAAAACAGGCTCTGCTCCAAGATTTCTCAGCTAGGGAACCAAAACATTAAGGATGTTCTCTAGATAGAAAAATTGGAGCAACAGTTTAGGCTAATGAGGAGGAATGAATATGTGTCACTATATGTTTTGCATGCAGCCAACTGTGCCGATCAATTCCCTTTTTTTATCTCATACGTCTGGCATATTTATCTGTGTAAAAAAAACTTGAATAAAGATATTTATTGTTGGAGATTGTTGTGTTTTTTTAGGGGATTTCAAAAAGGTTAAACATCAAAATATGATATGCAAAGGTATAACATGGGAAGTCTGTGGAGTTGTGTGAGGACGATGAATGTAAGTATGAGAATAAGTGAGACATGATGAGCTCCTTTGGGCTCAGCTTGGCTAAAGGTAAGTATGGTACTGCTACAACAAAATGAGAATTGAGTCTGTGAGCCTGTGTACTTCAGGGTTTGAGAGGTGGGATTAGTAAAAGCACGGTGAATCACTTCTATGAAACGATTCCCCACCCGATATGAACAATGACACTGAAACGATAAAATAACTAACCCCAAAATAAATATGTATATATTTTTTTTAATTTAAAATGTGAATAGGGGGATTACTTTACTATCAATGTGCATTTAGTTTTACATTTTTGATTTATCATTTTTTCTGTTTTACAATATATTGCAATATATAATATTGCTTTAACGGTTAAAGAATGCCAATGCAGTTAATTTTTCCTTATAGTAGCAGTGCTAGTTTCAGGCATGTCTTTCAAACAAGTAGCTAAAAGTGATAAAACTATTCCCCACTTGGCTGCACACAGTCCCCCTCAACCTGACAAGGGTGGGGGAAATCTCCCCCTCAAAAATCAAAAATGTCCCTCTGTTTACTATTCATGCCTCAATAAGGCTAAGCTAAGCTAGGGTAAACTAGCTGTCACGTTTTCGCATTGAGACCCCATTCCTACTATAGCCCGAGAGCTCATCCCAACACTAATACACAGATTCCACACCCTTGACCTGTGAAAAGTAGCACCTAGTTCACTAGGGCCAGATTATTGCAAGCCATTGGTGAGTTTAGTCCAGCATTCCTTTTACCTGCCTGCCTGATTCTGACCTGATTCTCCCCCCTGATTCTCTGTACCCTATCAGACCTGTCATAATGTGTTTTTGGCTCTCTGACCTATTTTCTGTGACCTGACCTTGCTCCCTGATTCTGCCCTGGATTGTCCTGGGGTTCTGATCACCTGGGTCTGACTCTGGACCAGCTCCTGGATTCCGAACTCTGGTTTGTCTCTTTGATCATTCTGCCTGTCTCTGCTCTCATGGATCTGACCCAGTGCATTCAATACAGGTCCAGCAGATTCCGAAACAGCTTCTTCCCCACCGCCATCAGAAAAGTGAATGTTGAAAAAACTCTAAATTATGTCACAGACTCTGCATCAAACTGACCATATCAATGCATTTTTTTTTGCACTATGTTTTTTCTCCAACAATGTTTTCAGTTGATCACTGCTACATTTTATGAAAATGGAAATGTGATGAGAAATTTCAATAAATGTTGTCTTAGTCTCTAAGTCTAAGTCATCCCTCTGGGCAAACAAGTAACTGTCAAAGAAGGATTCCTCCAAACCAACCTGGACAGAATCAGGAATCCTGAGAGATTCACCAGTGACTTCTCATGGAAATTGGCTTTCTCAGAAACTGTAAAAGTTTGCCCTTAAACTCTGAGAAGTTCTGGTACTCTGGTGAATCCCTCCCGACCTGCGGCAGTTTCATATTTTAATAAATTGTTCAAGCATCAAATATTGTCTCTGGTTGAATATTGGCCATGCCTGTCAAGAAACTTTAAGACATCCGCTGTGAAACAACCCACCATCCCAGTCAAGCTCCAGTATCCAATATATTTTAAGACATGTACAAACTACAATAAGGTGATCAGATTTTGACTTGCAAAGCTAGGGACAGTTCTGTTTGGAGAGGTGGATCATGTTCTTTAAAAAATATAATTTTTCGACACACTAAAAATTATAATATATGGGAGGATGATAGGAAACGGGTAAAATATGGTAGTAAACAGAAGACTTAAGATGAAAGGACAGACACCAAGATGTCTTTATAAATATTTGTCGTACAAATATACCAGACTTTCAAATACAGGATCTGGTTTGTCATGGTTTTGGTTCTGTTTTAAGTTTTCTCTTTGAGTTTACATTGGTTTTATTTCCCTTTTGAGTTATTCTAGTTATTTTTATGACATTTGAGTTCTTATGTGTTTCCCCTATTGTATCAGTCTCCTTCTCTCTAGCTCCCTTCTAGATTCCTCTGTCCACACCTGCTCCCATTCAGCTGATTAGCCTGGTCTCTGTTTCTGTCTCCCATATATACACCTCCTGTTCAGTCAGTGCTTGCTGGTTCCTCGTCGTCGTCATTTCTTACCCTTCATTTAAGTTTTTAAGATTTCAGTATTTTTGGATTTTGTGAATATTTTTTTTTTTTTTTTTGCCTCTGTTAGCCTTTTTGGAAATTAAACTTGCAAGTAACCAACTCAGCCTTCATCTCTGCATTTGGGTCCTTCAAACCTCCACTCAACCCAGAATGGTTTAACTTCACCTTCCAGTCAGCTAACAGAAAAAAAAAGTTTCTATGAAGTTAACCTTAAATTGTCTTTTTTTCCCCATCTTTTGAAGAAATTTTCCCATCATTATGAGGATAAACCAATCCCAACAAACATACTGTAACTATCGGGCATGTAAAACGTGGCAACATTGATATAAAAATGCCTAAAAAACATTTCTAGAGTTCTCTAAATCAAATCAAATACATACTTCGACTCATGCAGCTTTGGAACTTTAAAAGTATATGCTTCCTTTGCAAGAACGGAACAGAGAACTTTGAGATTTCTACCTCCTCCTGGGGCTGTGTTACATGATCTCAGCTGTGGTTTGTGAATTCTTGCAGCTTTCCATTGTGTGGTGCATCTGGTATCTTTTGTGCTATTAGTCAGAAATTTAAAATGGTTGTGGTTACTGTATAGTGCTGTGATGCACTCATAAAAGTTCCCATGGGTTTTGTTCTTGTGCTTGTGCATTATGAAGTGCCATGGGATATGAATGGCTCTTCAGTCAGTGTGCAAAGAGATATTTATTGGTAGAAAGCAATATTTCTCATCAAAGAAAATCATCAGCTGTGATTGGTCGTGAAGCGAGTTAACCCTAAACAGATCATTAATGCTTCACAGGGCAAAAAAATATCGGGTGAAATTTGTTACATTGTTAAAATCTTAAACTAATCAGAGACGGACCTGAGAGTTAAAAAAAACAACAAAAAAAAACTGTTTAGGTGTGTTAAAAATCCATTTCCCAACTGTGAAACCACTAAAGAAAACGTTTTTTATGTTTTGCTTTTTGGATTTCTGTGATAGGACTTCTACAAAATTAGACAAGCATAAATAAATCAACATAAAAGGAAAACCTGGATTGGAAAATTTTTCTCTTTTACAGATTCATAGAAACTCATTAAGATTTGTAAAATCTTGAATCCATCTTCCCAAAAATACTCCTTGGCTCCTTCCTGTGAGCCAAGTATGTTTTATCTCATCTCCTGTACTGGATCATTATACAAACAGAGCCTAAACTGTGGAGCCAACATTTTTGGCCCTTCCTCTTAGTCCATTTGTTCTGGTTTCCTTCACCGACTCAACCTTCCAAATCTATTCCAACTTAATGGACCGGATTGGGTAAAGGTCACTGGGCTCCCTTTGCTGTCTTGAAAGGGACATGGGACTGGGCCAGTAGCTTTCAGCTCTGTTTGTTTATGGCAGCTGCTGTCTCCAGGCTCGGGGCCAAACACCGCTGGGATTACACAGCTGTCCCTCGGAACAGTGGCCGGTCCAGAGCCACACGCGTGCAGTGGCCTCCCGCCATAGGAGACCTATCCCAGAAAAGGAAAGCCTCTTCCTGAATCTGAAGATTTGGGAAGATTTAAAGCCCAGCTTTGTCCTCTCCTCCCACCTACAAGTTTTCATTACAGCAAGATGAAGAATGATCCTTCCAAAACAATAGCCACTCTGGTTGTAATTAAAGTTTAGAGGAGAAGCCACAACGTTATTAAGGTCTCCTTACTGCAATCACGTTTAAACCCTGTAGTTAGCTGCCATATAATTAAATACTAAGTATACTTTTATGGAAACAAAACAAAATATAAAATAGATTTCCAAAATCTGATGAAGACCTATCTTTTTTTTAATATATTTATTATTTTTTTTACCAGAAGCAGATAGCTCCATTATATAATAAATGCTTGAAAGATACCAAATACTTTTAGGTATTACATATCAAATGTTTTAGTTATTAACACAATGCATACATTAAACTCTTTGGCAACTAAAACAGAGGAAAATTTAATCAAATTTGAATCCTGGTTATAAAAAAAGAAAACATTCAATTATGGTGTTAGATCAGCAGTTATATTTTACTGTGGTGCCACAAATTCACATCCTAATTATAAAACATATGTGAAACTCCCATTGAATACACATTAGTTCAGAAATTTTTTTTTGGTAATTTAGCATTTTTTGTAGTAATTTCATTCGGTTGAAAACAAAAGCCATTATTTTTGCAGGACTGAGCTGTGCAAAAATAGCTCAATTTACTGTGTGCAACTATAACTAGTTTTTAGTTTTCAGGTATTACTTGTTCTGTTTTGTTGATCTTTGGTTTATTTTCCATTATATCCAAGCAGTTTTTAGTTACTCTTTGGCTACATTCACACTGCAGGCCTTGATGCTCAATTCCGATTTTTTTGCGAAATCGGATTTTTTTGCGTTACCGTTCATATTTCCAAATATATGCAACTTATATGTGATCTCCTGTGTGAACTGCAGTCATACAACGCAAATGTCCCGCATGTACAGTAGAGCATGCAATGACGTCACAGGCCAACATGCTCTTTTTTTCCGGAAGTAAACATGGATGGTAGTTCCGTCGCGCATCTAGCGGTCTTTTCCAACCATAAAAACACAATCTTTTCAATATGTTTAAACATAAATACTGCTCTCCGCATCATCATCTGCCATGGTTGTTGTTTTTCTTGCTGCTTCTGGGTAGCAAGACGCATAATAGTAGCCTGGGTGCCATTCCGAACTTAGTCCCGCCCACAAGGTTTGAGGTCGGGAAGTTCAGTCTGGCATTGCTCCATAGTAGCGCGAGTATGATCT